TCACCTCTTTTCTATGTATTCACCAACCATCCCTTTCAGAGTGTACTCCTGATTTTTTTTTCCAGGAACTGAAGTCAAGACAGACTCTATCCTCTTTCTTTTTTAGAAGGCCAGGGTAATATTTGCCTTTCATCAATTTGTGACACCTCTTCTGTTCTCCACATTCTCTCAGGTAGCTCTTACAGAATCATAGATCATCTAGGCCTAGTGATGCAAACTCACCAAAGGCATCCAGGTGCTTTCTTAATATTGCTCTACCTGTCTTAGGTTTCATTTTTTTAATCACTTATTTGTTCTGTCTTTTCCAATCCAAAGATTATTCTTCTTGGAAGAGAATAAAGAGGTAAAAATAAGAGTGACAATTCTATAATTTCTCCATTGCCAGTAATCATTATATTTTGTACTCCTACCCCCTGCAATGCTCCTAATTCTTTTTTGATTGTTCTTTTTAAAAAAAAAAAACCCTCTCCCCCCATCCAACCAAAAATTGTTTTTCAATTGACCCTATTTCCTGTTAGCCACAGTCCATAGCAAATGTAAGAGGATAGGATGAGGGAGTGGGAAAGGGAGATTGACCTATAGGAATCTCATCCTTCAAACATGGGCAGCAGTGTTCTCCTTCCCACATATCCACCTGCAGACTTAGTAAGCTTTCCTCTGAGCATGAGTAATACAAAGGCCCCTCACTCTACTTTAGAGCATGCATGGATATCCTATGATTATTTCTTATCCACTACCCATGTTGTGAAGAAACAAGAGGTTTGACTAGCACGCATACTTTAGGAGTCCTGGCTGCATTCTTATAGGAGTGATCTGTACTTGTTCTTTGTACATGTCTTGGGTTTTTTGGGGGTTTTTTTGTTTTGGTTTTTTTTGTTTTGGTGAGGCAATTGGGGTTAAGTGACTTGCCCAAAGTCACACAGCTAGTGAGTGTCATGTGCCTGAGGCCAGATTTGAACTCAAGTTCTGACTCCAGGGCCGGTGCTCTATCCACTGGCACCTAGCTGCCCATGTATGTCTTTTTTAAAAACTCTAAATTGGTCTATTAGTACCTAGTGCAACCACACAGATCTTTTTAGAGGTTATCTGATGCTTTAGAGGAGTCCACTGACTCTTGTGTTCTGTCTTTTGTGAACATCTAGTTATCCAGACTGCTATTCTTCGCATCTACTCTCTGGCTTGGTATCTGGCCTGGTTGATTTACATAGTCATCAGCTCTTTCATCCTTTAATTTAAAAAGCCTTTTGATTATATTTTCACAGCTTCAGGCAAAAACATTTTTCAACCTTTCTTGGGTGTATTTTGGAGTCTGTGATTTTTGTGTTTAAGGATATGCTATGGATTCCAAGACTTGAGTAGAAGTTTCAGTGGAATCAACATGGAGCATTCATGGTGCAATATAAGCATACAATGCTAACAAATCAAAGTTCCTGACTTAAACCTGAAGGCTCTTGTTAGCTGGAGCTGTTTTATGTCTGGAAGAGATGTTGACTGGGGTGAAGAATAGTCTTGTGGAGGGGAAATTCCCATTCCAGCTAAGGTTCAGAGAAAGAGATAGATCAGACAGGAGAAACCTGTGGCTTCTAGTCCACATGTGGCCCTCTAGGTCCTCACTTTGAATCCTCATTTGAATCCAATTGGATTCGGTCAGAGGGCTGCACTTGAGGACCTAGAAGGCCACATGGCCTTGAGGCTGCAAGTTCCCCACCCCTGAGATAGACTCTTCCTTCCCCCTCCTACTGCATGGAAGAAATAGCTACAAAGGGGCCTCGCCCATCTTGGTTCAATTGCTGGATGTATGAGGTCTCTGACTTTCAAAGAGAGCTATGGCAAAAATTATTGGGGCTTTAAGCTATAAGAGTAATCACGGAGCCTATTCTTCCTCTAATATCAAAGAGACAGAACCTTAGATGATGACCCCAGCTAAAGCCAGGAACTGGAAGTAGGGAGAAACTTCACAATCACTGGCAGTGCCAGTGGATAGAGCACCGGCCCTGGAGTCAGGAGAACTTGAGTTCAAATCTGGCCTCAGGCACATAACACTCACTAGCTGTGTGACTTTGGGCAAGTCACTTAACCCTGATTGCCTCACCAAAACGAAAAAAACAAAAACAAAAAACCCCCCAAAAAACCCAAGACATGTACAAAGAGCAAGTACAGATCACTCTTATAGTGTCACATGTGGAGAGAGGAACACTGACCAAGTGTTGACCATTCAGGACCAGCAGAGGGACACACCAGGCAGAAGTATATACCACACCACAGGAATGGCACAGGCCAGACATTTAGGAAAGACTATGCAATGAGAGACCAGAGGGGAACATGGTTAATAGGAATAGCACAAAAAGACACCATTAAGGTGTTCCTGCAGAGTCAGGGCCTCAATTTCCCTTCCATGAGTGAGTCTTGACTACATGTGCTCCCTACATATGAGCTTCTCCTCTTGATCATTATGTTTGCTTACTTGTCCTATTGATTTGTGTGGTGTGTGTGTGTGTGTGTGTGTGTGTGTGTGTGTGTGTGTGTTGGAAAGTTTACCTAGATTTCTGAGGAAAAGATTTATTGCTATTTTCTGACTTTGCAGTTTCATCAAGTGCCTTTGCTTTAAAACAATTGTATATTGTGGTGACTAGAAAAACTAAGCATACTGGTGGGGCCTCATAAACTATGTTTTGGATTGGACCTACAAAGTGCCTTGAACCTGAGGTAGCCTTGTAGGGTGGACTCACTGTGAGAGGTGGGGGTTGCCTTCAAGGTTTTATATCTGTTTTTGAGGATGAGGAATACGGTGGAGTGGAATAAAAATTTTAGAGGGGAAATACAGAGAGGGAAATCTTGGGAGGAAGGCAGAGTGAGAGAGAGCTATCCTGAGGGTGGCTCTACCCTTGTTACACCAAACAAAATATGTTAAAAGCCTTCAAATGCAGAAAGAAAAAATATAACAGGAAAAGGAAAAGCAAGAGAATCCATTCTAGAGTTGTTACAGGAAAAAAAAAACTCTGAAGACCAACTTGCCAACCTATGACTCTGGGCATACCTGAGGAACTTACCCCTTCTTCTTTACCTTTTCCCAACCCTCCTGTGGACCTAAGGTGACTCTGTGACCTAAGGCTGTGGCAATTTTAGGCAACAACTTTTAGAGTTAACTCCCTGATTGTGTATGTGTGTGTGTGTGTCAAAGTTCATGCTACTAGGACAGATGAAAATCCTATCGCTATAGATACTTTCACCCTTAACACCCTTCCTCACACAGTTTGAACTGTCCCACAGCAGCCCTGCAATCTAACCATGACTGAGGCAAATTGAAACACCTGACCTTCAGAGTGACCCTCTTGCCAATGTCTCAGTGAGAATCCCACTACCGTGGCAGTTAAGGTCCATGAATCAAATCAGCCCTAAACCTTGCAAAGAAGGAAAGGGGGTGGATGTGGAGAAATGTCTGGTATGGAGAATAAGAAAATGGGGGAAGGAGGAGACCAGAAATGCAGGCAGAATATAGGAGTGAGAGAAAGGACAAGAGATATTTGGCATATGCATATATATATGCATAAATGTATGCATCCTTTTTTCCTGAACTCTGTTGCTATCACCTGGCAGATGGGGAAGGGTGTCCTTCCCCCTTATCCTAGCCCTCCCCCAACTTCTCATGCCCATGAAAGGTAACCAGGTGAGAAGGATGATATGGATCTTCTTGTCAGTTGAATGAATCAGTAATCAATCACTACAAACCTTCTGGTGATATCAAGACCAGCAGTTGTCACTATCTGCTCTGCCAAGTGTTCTAGACCCCTGGACACTATCATACGACTTGCTGGCTCATGCTAAAGGCCTTTGTACCTTGCCATCCATACCATCGCTGCTTTCATAAAACTTTTAGGCCTATTATCTACTCTGTAATTCTTACCTCTCCTAATGAGATGAGCTCCTGGAGAGCAGAGACCATCTTATTTGTTTGTTTGTTTTAGCTTGTATACTCAAAATGTAGTACACATGAAGCACTTAAAATGCTTTTTCACTCATTCTCACCTTTCTGGACCCTTGCCCCACATCTCCCTAGGTCTAACACTTGCCAGTGTAGACTTCTAGATATATAGGGTCACTCAAGGCAGAACCACCAGGCTAGCATCAATATTCTCCACTATCTCTGATGGTAACAAAATGATACTGTAACTGGGAGTTTGGAACGGGATGCTGGAGCCACTGTGGAGCCACTGGGTCTGATTGCTACCTGAAATATTGTATCCCTTACAGCAAAGCGTCACATTCTCTCTCCTGGAAACTCTGCATGAGGGATTCAGGGAGACTACCGCCCTTGAAACCTTCTCTTCTGGCTTCTTCTTGTCATGATCTCTCTCATAACCCTGACCCTTCATACTGATTTGTACTTGTTCATAGCTCTCTGCTTGAAACAATTTCCTGAATATGAATCTTGCCTTCTCCTATCAGACTACGAGTCCTAGGAAGGCAAAGGTTTTCCTCCTCCTTCTGGGTTTCCCTTTAGTGCCCAGTATATCAGAGCCTCAAAGCAAGGCAGGACTGATTGGCTATCAGATGGACTTTTGAATTATCTGAATTTCTGAGTTTTAACAGCTTTATAAATATCCTTTCCTTTGCTTCTCTTTCTACTGTTGGACCCCATAGATGCTGTTTCAAGGGCTGCAAGTCTCCCTGAATCCCTCATAGAGAGAGACAAGGTATAACAAGGAGTAAGAAGCAGGCAGGTCAGCATGTTTCTGAGAGCACAAGTCACAAAAAAAAGCAGATAGTGAGATTCTGACATTTACTGTGTGACTACAATTAAATCATTTAGCCTCTCTGAATCTCAGTTTCCTAGCCTAAAGATGGGTATAATAATATATGCCCCACCCACCTTGTAGGGTTGTTGTGAGGAAAGTATTTTGTAAGCCTTAAAGGGCTATAGAAATAGGAGCTTTTGTTATCATTATAAAATAAGAGGCAACTGGTAGAGGAGACAAAGAGAGTACATCAGAAGTACTTACCTGTGGACCTTCCACTTAAAGCTGTAAGAGAACAGAAAGTAATGATCAGCTCCAAGGGAGAAAGGAGTACCCATAGGTCCTTTGTCAGGGTAGGAACTGGAATATGTGGGCAAGGTAGCCAGAATTTGAGAGCAAGAGTTCCAGTGTGCCCTTTTATCTCTGCCCTATGCTGTTGGAAGTACAGGGTTATCTTCAGAACTAGTGTGTACACATAACCCTGGCCAGGAGTTGAAAATATTCTGGGTGCTGGGGCTCTCATATCCTTCTCCTTCCTCTATTCATACTTAATCAGAGCTGCCATCCCAATCCAAGTCAGACCTCTGATCTTTCATCGAAGACTTTGGTCAAGGAAAGTATTGAGTGCCTCCATCCAAAAGCAAACGAAAGCCTTCTTTCAATCTACTGACACTGGAGCATTTCCTTGCAAGTCCTTGGCTCTAGCGATTCCACACAAACATGGCCAAAGCCTGAGATTTCTGAGAAGTCAGAGTTGGGGGAATCTCTGACCTGGATTCCTTCAGTCCCTAAAAGGGTCTATGTTCTCCAGGGATTTACACTAAAAGATACCATCTCTTTATAGGGACTTCTTTCCTCCCTCATCCAACTCTGCCTTGGCAGAGGTATATTAAATCAATGAGTTAGAGTTGTCAGATTTTTTTAAGTTTAGACCTTCATTAAGCTCAGCTCAGTCTTGTTTCTTCTGCCTTCTAGTCAGTCCCCAAATCAGAATCCACAGGCACAGAGAGAGATCAGAGCTCCCTAGGAAAGATTCCTAACACACTATCTCTAGTTGGGCATCAGTATTAGTATAAGATCCATCTCTGTATTTCCATCCTTCCATCCCAGCATTGTTCAGGCCCCTCTACTTACCACATAGTAGTAGAATTACCCAAAGCAATTTGGGAGTGGATGCAAAACCTTCCATAGGAACATGAGCTACTTCAGCAGCCAGCAGGGACTGAAAAGGGAGGAGGGAACTGTAACCAAGAAAAGACATGAAAAAAGAGGAAGTATGGTGTTTTTGGTATCGGATCTCATTAGATACCTGCAGCTTCTTAACTTCCTTCCATTTCTAGAGATGATATTCAGTAAGATTATGTGGTTTCACATATTCACATCAATAAATTCACCTTCTCCTCACTTTACTCACTCCCACAAACCCATGCAGTTGGCAAAAGTTTGATGGAAGGAGGTAGCCAGAGAAGATTGGTGATTGGGAGAGGAGAGCCATGGGTATATGGGGATAGTTTTGGGGGTGGGATATAATCAGTCAAACAAGCAGCAAGTATTTATTAAATGCTACCCTATGGAGAAGGGGACAATATATATTAAGTATCAATTCAAGTAAAAAAAGAAAAAAGACAGTTAACATATTCAAGACTCTGAGAGAGACAGAAAGGTAAAGATCTAGTCCCTGCTCTCACAGATCAGAGGGTTTTAAACTGGAAGGAACACTAGGGATCACTCCATTCGAAGGCCTGTTTGGTTGTCTCAGAGTGAGTGTAAACAGCAATTGTTTCTGTCCCAGCCAGAAACTTTGAGACTCTTTCCCTCTCAGATTGATTCTTTTGTGAAGGCAAACTAGGCCATTGTTTGCCTCCATTCTTACTTAGCCTTTAATTACTGAATGGGTGTTGCCTCAGACAAACTGAGACCTGGGAAAGACCTAGGTTAAAAAGGTCTCCCACTGCATCCAGGACCACTGTCAGTCATTCTGATCTATGTCTTGCCACTGGACTCTGGTGACTTTGGAGGAGAGAGTGAGGCTAATGACTTTGCACAGCTCTGCCGTACTCAATCCAATTCACTTGCAAGTCAAGACATCACCCTACTGATATCATCGGTCATCTTCAAGAACAAAGGACAGACAACAACAGCAACAATTTTACAGATGTGGAGACTGAAGCCCAGAGGCAAAATGACTTGTCCAAGGTCATACAGCTTGTAATTAAGAGCCAAGATTCAAACCTAGGTCATATGGTTACATAATCAATGGTCTTGCAGTAGTAGGAACACATTCTAGCAGGGGTGGAGCTATGACTAGAATTGATTGAATAGGGCTCTTCTTCAACATGCAAACATATGATGGGAGAGAGGGGAGACATGATGTTTCTTTACCCCGGAATCCCATTCCCTAGCTGTCATCCACCTTCCCCCTAAAATCCCAGAGTGACCATCATTACTCACTTGCCATTATGCCCCTTCTCTAGGGCATGGCTTTTTCTTTTTCTATGTCCCCTGCCTTCTACCTCCTCCTTCCCACCTGCCTGCTTCCTGGGCATTTAAAGCATTGTTGGCTGCATATCAAGGGTATAGGCTGGACACACTCTGGCTATACCCTTCTCAAAGGCAACTTTGTCAGATTGGGTAAGACTGTCCAGTACCATTCCAAAACTGAGTATGCCCTAATGCAGAGCTTCAACTCTGAGCTGAGAAAATATAACACATATAATGTGTTATAATATAACACATATAATGTGTTATAATATGACACATAATGTTATAATGTAACACAACAAATAATGTTGTCACAACAATAAGTAGACTAGAGTAAGTCCATGTAAGAGATACAAGATATGATTACAAAGGAGGCAATGGAGGCTTCTGACTGAAGAAATCATGGAAAGCTCTGTGGATGAGGTGGCATTCGATCTGGGACTGGAAGGATGGACATTTGAAGCAATTCAACCAATAGAGGGAAGGAGAGCACGAGCAAGCATAGGAAGCAGTGTAAGCAAAGTTGCAGAGACAGGAAAGCTCCCCAGACACTCAGAGAAACCAAGAAGGCACAAAGAATGTTAAGTTGTAGTGGAGTACCAACCTAGAAGATAGATTGGAGCAAAACTGGTAGAGGGCTTTGGACAGTATTCTAATGGCACATCAGATTCAGTATGTCCAAAATTAAACTTATTACCTTTCCCCAAAAAAACTAACTTCTCTCTCTCTCTCTCTCTCTCTCTCTCTCTCTCTCTCTCTCTCTCTCTCTCTCTCTCTTTGTGTGTCAAAGATAGCATCATTAACAGAATCCACAGCATTGAAGAACTTGGAATTATCTTTGATTCTTCCTTCTCCTTCACTTTCTCATCTAATCCTTTTTCTTTAATTTTTAACCCTTTAGTCTTTCAGATCCTATCTTAATATAAACTCTCATTACCATCATCTAAGCAAATTTCTCCTAACAAGTCTTTGTACCTTCTCCCTTTCCCATCCAATCTATCTTTCAGTTAGCTGTCAGAATAATCCATGTGATACATAGAGATGGTCTTCTAAACTCCATTCAATAGTTCGGAGAACCTTTAGTGCTCCCCTATTCTTACCCTAGTGGTTCTTTAACTTTTCAGTTTCAGGGACCCCTTTGAACTTTTAAAAATTAGTGAGAATCTTATCCCCAAAGAGTTTCTGTTTATGTGAGTTATGTCTATCAATACTTACAATATTAAAAATTCAAATATCTTAATACTATTATGAAAATTGTTTTTGAGCTCATTGACCCCCTGAAAGGGTCTTAGGGAACTTTCTAGGAATCCCTATACCATACTTTGAGAACCTTTGGCTTATTAAATAAAGACTATTCTCATTAGCACTGAAGGATCCTCACAATCTGGTACCATAGTGCTTTTACTACCTTACCTGGCTACTACTTCCCATCGTGAACTTGATGGTCTAACTGACTTGTATTGTTTGCATGCATCCCGAGTTTTCCCACCTCTTTGTCTTTGTCCATACAATTTCTTAAGTGTAGAATATTCTCTCTCTGTCTCTGTCTCTCTCTCTCTCTTTCTCACCTTATCACATTGCTGAAACTTTCTCACCTCCAGCAGCTAGCACTGTTCCTGGCACATATAATACATGTTTGTTTAATGTCTGTTGAAATTTTATCCATCTAGAGAGAGCTAGCTCAACTTATATCCCTTCCACAATTCTTTCCTCGATTCCTCCAAGTAGGAACGATCTTTGCTTCTTCAAACTATCCAGTACATTGAACCATTCTATTTCATATACATTCTATTTGTTTACATGCCATATGTCTTCTGCTAGATGAGGAGCTTCATGAATAGAGGAATTGTCTTATTTACATTTGTTTCCCCTCTAGAGCTTAGCTCTGGATATAGTAGGCACTTAATGAAAATGTACTGAATCTATGCCATTTGAATGATTTATCCAAGGGGCAGCAAGTATAGTCAAATGGATAGAGAGCTGGCCTTAGAATAACTAAGATCTCTGTCTCTAACATGCATTGGCTATGTGACACTAGACAAGTCAATTAACAACTAAGTACTTGACGCAACTCTCTTAGGACTGAGTTGCAGAGAAGATCCAGATCTGCATTGGTACCTCATTTGGGAGACTCCTGTATCAGTGAAAAATCATAGGTCCAGTTTCTATCTATAACTCTATCATTTAGGCAATAGGGAACCATTTTTGATGTATGATCATTAAGAAAATTATTCTTGAAATGCACCTATGGTACATAGGTGAGAATGGACTAGGGCCCTAATTGGGGGAGAAGTCTGTTGAAATAGTTCATCTAAGAGGCAGTGAGGTCTAGCAAGTCATTTCCTCTGGATTGACTTCAACATCTTTATCTGAGAAATAAGAGGGTTAAAATAGATGTTCTTCAGCCGTCCCTTCCAGCTTTGATAGTATCTTGATAATTAGCCCTAGAGGAGTTCAGGAAACTCTGATATAATCTGGGGGCAGGGGAGGTGATGGACTGGTTACTGATTATCTACCCTCCAATCCAGGGCTTGAGTGTGTGTCATTCCCTTTGGAGTAATTGTGACCCCTGTTGGCTCATCACAGGAATTATTTGAGCCAGCACAGAGATAAGCATATTCTGGAAGCTGTCTGTCTAGGTATCTGAGATACTGCCATGGAACTATCAGTGGTGAAAAGGAGAAGGTAATCAATGAGCTAGATGCAGGTAGAGAGACAAGAAGGGAACTAAGTGGGATTATTAGGTTGTGAACCTTGGAGATAAGAAATTGGAAAGGGGCAACTAAGAGAAAGAAAATAAACTTAGTTTCTAATATGGTAACTGAGGCCGTGCAGGAGCCACAATTTACCCTTTATCTACTGAGAATGCTAAGAATGATCACTAATAATCATAAATTTCCCTACCTAAGGCTTTGAGGATTATACAACACTTTCTTCACAATCTTGTATTAATAGTATTATTCCAATTTTACAGATGAGGATACTGAGTCTCATAAAGGTTAAGTTATTTGAGCAAGGTCAAGCTAACAAGTAATAGAGCTATAAGTGTAACCTGTATTTTCCAACTCCAAACTTTTCATTATTACAGTACTGAACTGCTGTCATAGGATTATAGATTTAGAGTTGTAAAGGACCTTATAGATCATATAGTTCAATCTTCTTTCTTTATAGATGAAGAAACTGAGGCACAAAGAGTTTAAGTGACTTACCCAAAGTCACACAGTTAACAAAATCAGGAGCAGAATTAATTATATTCTCCCCTAAACCTATCCGTTCCTCCTCCAAAGTTCACCATTTCTGTTGATTGCACCACCATTCTTACAGTCATCCTGGTTCACAAACTTAGACTCATATTCTCTCTCGCTCACCCCCTATATTCAGGTTCCAAGTACTCTAATTCTGTCTCCACAATATCTCTAACATCTGTCCTTTTCCATTCCTACAGACCCTAACCAATTTCAATTCCTCTTGCCCAAGCTATTGTAATAGCCTGCTAATTCATCTTCCTTCCTCATGTCTCTTCCTTTTCTAGTTCAATCTCCACACAGCTGTCCAATTAATGTTACAAAAACAGAGACATGTCTATGTCACTCCCTATTCAAAAATCTTTGAGAAGCCACTTGTCTTTTGAAGAAAATCTAAACTCCCCTGTTTGGTATTTAAAGTCCTTTACGATCTTATTTTGGCTTGCCTTCTGGGCTTATTGTATATTATTCATTTTCATGTAATCTATATTCCAGTTAAACCAGCCTGCTATCAT